TAACTACAACACACACACACACACACACACACACACACACACACACACACACACACAAGTCACCAGGTTTTGTTTTACAAATCGTAGAAAACTCGATTCTAATGACAAATGAGCGCATCATAGAGTCGCGAAACGACATATTGTTCATTTGTTATTAACAGAAAAGTGGAAAAACTTTATCAATTTCGATTGCTACAATTTAGTCACAAAACACGCGAGATACGATATTGTGGTAATTATAGAAAACGGTAACTCATGGAATCGTCGCATGTTTGTGACTTCTCAACACTATAGATCGTTTCACTTTAAGAAAAGTAAATATTTCAGTCTTTCAAATATGTGTACCAAATTAAGCAGTTTTTTTAGCAAAATATGTTCATAGAAAGAGTTGTTGCTCTCCATTCTCTCCTTTTATTACAATTATAATTTGCGACTTATGTACTTCACTTTTATTACATTTATAGTGCACCATCTCGCAAAATGTCTGACATTTCACAAACAACTCCACTCAATATAGATTTTATTCCACAATATATTTTGTTTTATATAAGTTGAAACTCTCTGACTTATTATTTCCTTATTTCTATTACAATACGAGCCGCCAACACTTCGCAAGTTTCTTTATTTCGAGATAAACCTTTAACAGCAACAACCTTCTGTGACACTATATTCATCGCGATATATTTGAGAGCAGATGGAAAAATAGAAGAAACGCGACATGCCCATTATAAATGTTACGAGTAATCAAAGAGGAAACGGTACCATTCATTAATTCATCCACCCATTGTTACGAAAATTACAAGTGCTCATTCTATCAATATGTAAGTTATTGATAAACATTTACATCATTATGTACAGAGTATTATACACTGAAATGGGAAACACTGAGAATAGAAATTATGATATAGCAATAATGAAACAATAAACTTATCGCCGCTAATAATATTACTAATAGATATTTTATCTAATATAATAACATACCTAAAAAAAAAAATGTATCTTTATACAAATTGTTTAACAATATAATTTGGAAGCTTTGAAATATTTTCTCTCATAAATTTTATTTGCGTCAAATAACTAAGTAAAAAGAAAAGAATAAATTATTAGTTTCGGACTGATCAAATAATAAAAAAAGGACATAAAATTATAAAAATTATGACATACTTGAAATTTATATGACGTACTTAGATTTTTATTAATAACGCTCAGGCATATATTTTTTTTATTAAACAAATATTCGAAATTTTATATAATACATTCAACACAATCATTAGAGCTGATTTTTTTAAATGTAAATAACTCTACAAAAGAACAAACAACACAAAAAGAGACAAAGTAATAATTAACTACAAATAAAATATCGCAATTATTAAGTCTCTGAAGACTTGTTTAATTATAAAGAAAGAAATAAATAAAATAAAAGCTCTTTGCTTGAAGGTCTTATAATTATCTAAAAATTTGCAATCTTTTGTAACCATCCAAACAAATGGAAAATTTTGGTTATAAACCTTTAGTAATAGCTAATTAACTTATTTGCATAATATAATGTACAGTATCATCGATTAAGAAAATACGCACTGTCCTGATTAAATCGTTATAAATGATCATTCTTTATTTATAAAACTTAAAACAAGTTTACATTAACAATATAATTTTTTAATAGAAATCGATATTCTTATTTTGTAAATATTAAAAAAATTTTTTTTTTTATTGTGATACAATAATTTATTATTACGATACGATAAAATAATTACTTACAAATTAAAAATCAATAAAATGTGACGGAACAACATAAGATAATGATTAAGATAATGATTATATTTCATATCTAATGTTCTTATTTATAAAAAAAATAAAAGTATCTGCAAATTTAAATTTCATGCAGTTGCATTACATAGCATATAAAATATAAATAATATGATTAACGTAATTTTATAATTTTCTTCTTCTGATTTAAAATAAAATATTTCTAAAATATAATTAATAGTTTCCTTTAACAATATTTCTGTAATACGTAATATAAAATATATCAGAACAATGCGATTTTCTTCAAAATAAACAAAATAAATTTCTTCTTCTCACCGGTAATCGTAATAAACACTGGTATTATCTAAAACGTAAAACAAAATAGACGGCAAATCGTCTTAAAGGTACAAGTTTCTTTTCTCTATCGGAATCGATGCTGGCATAAATGCCGCGTGTACAACATTCTCTTCTAATTTATTGTTACTCTTTTGTACAAATGTATGGGGAGGCTTAAACAGTACGGAGTGGAAAAAGAGTGCAAAAGATGAAATATCATTTGGCAGTTCGGCATTTGTCAAATATATGTAAGTCAGACTGTTTGATAGTTCAACGACCCAGTTGCAATCCCGGTATTTCAAGTGACATTAAGATGAATTCAAGAATGACGTTAATATCGTCGCCTGGAAATATAACTGGCAATGGCTATGTATATAAAGAAGAAAAATATCTTTTTGTTTTTCTGTTGTGTTTAAATCTCAACTAACAATATTTGATATTACAATTTAAATAGTCAATTCTACATGTTACATTAAAATATCTTCTGCTAAATATGTGTAAACTGAATAAAATTCATTTAGCAGATTATTTTTGTCTTATATTTAGTCCTTAAGCTTCCTTAAAGCTTCTCAGGTTTGGTGATTATCAAGTATTATTCCTCTTAAAATTGGTACGGTAATGCATAGGAATTAACATCAAAGATATTTTTCCTCGTTCCGGAGCGAGTACAACATGTGGGAATATATTATTATTCTGTCTCTCTCTCGCTTTAGTTAATACTCGGTCAGATATTGGCACAGAGAGTTGTACTAACAGTATAGAAATAGCTGCGGGAAACATCAATCAAGTTTGCAGCGTTACGCTGATGAATTTGCGTATATTGAATAGAACATCACTGCAAAGCTTTACCAATGCATAAGCTATAGTTTACGTATGATAAATTAACCTATACATATATAACAGGAATGTATAAGAGTAAATAAAGAAACAAGGCTTCGTCTTTTCATTAAAAATTCGTATGATATATTCGTCGGCAATTATGGCTTCTAATTTATAGTTAAAACATTTTCAAACTTTTGGTTATACTAAATTCAAGATAAAACTTACAATAAAAATCAAGTTTAAAAATTTTTCAGAAATAAAAGCTTGTCCAAAATTTCATATTTGATCTAAAATAACAAATTTGACAATGTAGAATATTTAAATTAGCGATAAGACAACCCAGTCTTACTTCTATTTTCTCCATGATTAAAGATACAAAACAAATAATTAAATTAATTTTGTTATTTAAATATAAATTTTATAATTAATTTTGCAAGGAAAATATAGGATACAGTATTAAATAATTGAGAGAACATCCAAAGAATAACATTCTAAGATTAAATAATTAAATAATCTTAGAAAATGTAAAGATATCTTTCAAAAAAGCAATTTGTTTGAGAATTTTCTTTAAAAAAAATAGAAATAAGTTATAATAATAGACAACAAGTAAAAATTTTTATTTAATAATAATTCATTTAAAGTTTATCTCAATAAAATATTAACTTTAAACATTTAAACATCTCTTTTAACGTTTTATAAGCCAAAAACAATTTAAATTAAATTCTAACTGAAGATTGTGTAAAAAATATATAAACTATTTTGAATGTTAGAATTATAATTAATGTGAATATTTTTGTATGTGTAACTTCAACCTTAATTATTTATTATTTACTAATTAATTGTTAAATTCTCAGTCTTTCAACAAATTGCTATTCGCGACGAACATATAACGTCATTCCAGTACAAGTCCATCCAGTATTTACGATTTATTGTTTCATCTTATTTTGTTCGCCAATAATAAAAGTATTTTTTATATGCTAGTAGACAATTTTTTTTTTTTAGAAACATTTTATCTATTTACAGCACTTCATTTTATTATTGCAGTGCAAATTGTTTTTAATTTGTACGACAATACATTTACCAATGTCGAACAGTTGTATTTAAAACAGTAAAATTTCTATTCTATTACAATAAGTATGCAAAGTAATCTTCAAAATCTATAACATAAATACATAATTATATATAATGTATATATTATGTATATATAAATACATAATTATATGTATTATATTTTAAAACATTAAAAAAAAATTGAATGGTTTATTTCAATTATTGGCACTGCTATATTTTACTTTTTAGAGATTTGTTCAAATAAAAATTTCTTTATTGTATATAGAATGTTTGATTCGATGATACAACAGCCGTATGCAGGTAGAACGAACCAAATTGAGCGGAAAAGTTCTCTACCATTTTTGCAATTAGTAGTGAATTAATAATTATTAAATATCACCGAATAAGCGCGTATCTGCCCGTCACTGACAAATAACAATCACATAGCGATGCTTAATGTTACGTGCGTTCGCGATTGCGCGAACAAATGTTCTGTCATGTGTAGACTTCATTAAATATCTCACTGCTCTTCTAATAATCGCGAACGCGTGTAGTGTGGAGGTAGCATAATGTTGGGCGATCACACCTCGCTGTACACTTGCATTCGTCAGTGGGCCAGATAAATAGGCGCTCATTTAGCAATTTTTAATAATTAATATCTCATTACTAATTACGAGAATCGTAATCGTAAAATTAATAAAGAGCTTTTCTGCTCAGTTTTCAGATCCACTGCACACAAACGTGTATCTCGAATCAGATACCTTGTATTATTCTTTGTTATCTATTAAAAAATACAAAAGTTATATTCAATTCATATTGTTTAAATTTTATTTACGTTAATCACGTAAATTAAAGACTATCAGCATTGATTTGTAAAAAAAAAATCATATATAGTGTCTATGAAATTATGCAACTGGGTCAGAACATTGCATGTAAAAAACGGAAGAAGAAAATTAGTAGTACGACGCTCAATAGACGCCATCGGTAAAAAACAATACAAAAATACGATTATGTATTCGAAGGACTCTGTTCTTTTGTCTATAATATAATAATTGTAACCTCGCAGACTTTTACGTTGACTATTGGATGACGAAGATTCTTATTTTCCTGTTCTTCTGAATTCTATCGTATGCAACTGTGCCTTGCTCAACATTTATCTTCCACTCTGAATAAATCGTCTTCAACGTCCATCTCTGACTTCATCAAAGAAGTATACACTATACACACTTTTACCGATATAATCCATTAATCGTTAAAGAAAAGAAGAATTCGTTCGTGCATAGATAAACAATTTCTTCTATTCTTCGTCGAGATTTTAATTATGTTTCACAAAAGACATTCCATACGCATACTCATCGCATTATTAGTCTCGCAGTATACAAAGTTATGTACTTACCTCAAGCACTACGATTGCTTTTCAACTCATTGAAATACAGCGCGTAGATGTTAAAATTCATCTGAAGATTTTACATTCGAAATTATAAATAAAACAAATTTAATGTAAAATAGCATTCAATAAATTGATTTTTTCAATCGATATAGAGCATACTACGATAAAACTAATCCAAACAGCACTTGAACATAAGTGTGCCAGAAGAAACCAACTTGAAAATATTGTTCCTTCATTTAATTTCTCTTAAAAACATTATTGTTAATATTATTATTTTATATTTCTCTTAAAATTATTATTGTTTTGTACATAATTTTATATTTTACACTTGACTCATAAAGACTACATTTTAATATTAAAATTTTTTAAATAATAGTTTTTAAGTTATTACTTGTAGAAGATTTATCTGCAATGTTTTCTATCGTTAAAAAATCGCATTAAAAAAAATAGTAAATACATTTAAGAAATTATTTGAAAAATCCATAATTATATTTATTAATATCAGTTGATTTCTTCTTGCTATATTTGCTCATCTGACATATTTAATTGATATTTAATCATCTTCGCTGTACTTCTTCACACTTTTCTTTATCTCACGCAAAAAATACCCGAAAATATGGATTTTCCAATGATTCTCTTTTTTTCACAAATTTGTCTTCCACTTTTTTTTCTTTCTTACCAGTTTTAGTTCAACTCCCGCTGCATTCTCGCATGCTTCTCATACTCTCATGCTCCTTTCATGCTACGATATATACGCGCTTTTGAGCTTTAATATCCTTCAATTTCAGCTTTCTTGCATTACAAGAAAAACATTTCGAAAGTCTCGCCATATCATCACGTATCGCGCTCACTTTTCATATGATTACGCAAAAATATTCGCCTTGAGCAAAACATTCGTATGTATTTACTATATTAAGAGTATACATAGGGTCGACAAATAAAACCGGACGATGTGCCAAAATTTCATAACACCACACACGGAAGAGAGGATAAGTTTGGGGATATTTTTGTAACAATCCTGATATTTTATCAATAAGTGTTTATAGAT